AATTTGATAGTGAATCATTTAGTTCATTGAGTTGGTTCTATACATTATGTGGGATTTTGAGCCTATGCAGCTATGATTTATGGCCTGAAGTTTCTGTTGCGATAAATGTTTATTTTTAACAGTAAATAGTATTATAAAAAAACAAAATTGTTTTCATTAATTTGATTAATTGTATCACATTAATAATTTGAACTGTGCCTAGTTACTTAAAAAAAAAGTCAACTTTAAATTTTAATAATAATTAATACTATTGACAACGCCGTAATTACACCCATAACTCATAGCTTATGCATATTTTACTTCAACTGACCCGCACCGACCTACGAGGAAAAACCTTGGAACCACAAGGAAAAAGGTCGTCAGAACCCGTAGCAAGAAAGGGTTTATTTATTATAAGCCAAAGCTTCCTCAATAAGCTCTACCATTTTGATTAGTAATCCACCAGCTCCGTCCAAAAACGGTAGACAGAACTTAATTTTAGAAATTAGTGAGTACCACCGATGACTCCAATCAAATTTATACTCATAACTTAAATTTTGAAATAAAAATCTTAATTTAAGCTAAAAAAAATCAAACATGTTAAATTTTCAAACCAGAATTTGGCTACCGATGATATATTTAAGTATAATCAACTTGTAAATTAGAACTATCAACATGTAACAAGGCTTTATTACTTTGATTTGTATTTTAATTAAATGAAATGACATAATAAAAGAGTTGATAATGTAATTTATTTTTTAACTCTGCATTAATATGTCTTTTTTCCTTAGTTATATCTCCAAATGAAGAAATTAGAAACAATTTGAATATTTTAGCTCATAACCCAACAAAAATAATGACAAATAGATACAACTAAGTCAGAGGGAAATTGCTAATTACATATACAATAATAAGGTTAGAAAACAGGAAAAAAATATTCATTTCCTTTAAAATTAAAAACAGAAGAATAATATCATGTCACACATTTAAGATAAAATTTGATTATTATTTAAGGATATATGAGTAGGAAAAATTTGGCCCACTTATAATGGAATAATTTGTGGATAAATATTGTCCATGTTGGCAGAACAGATGGGAAGGATTTGTCGACCTGGTGATGACATGGCAAAGGCCAAAAGGTGACAGAATCATAAGGTTTAGTCGTCAATTTCGGAAATTTAAATTTAAGCTTACAAGATGTGTGGCTAAAATGGTAAAGTTATAAGATGAAAGGTTGAGAGTTGAGACTTTTATAACCTGTAAGTTATAGGGCTGGGCATGAATTCATGGCAAGGCCAGCCTTGCGTCATCAGCTGGGTTTTGGGCGCAACATTTGCTGCCAGCCTGCCGGATGGACACTGACATGTCAATCCTATAGATTTGGCCTAGTCCTATATGACCAGATCATAACTCCATAAGACAACTGTCTGTGTAGGAGAAGGCAGTCTGGCTCTGCATTAAATTCCACAATGCATCATCGTGTAGCAGACCATGGTCAGCTAACCCGTTTTTCCTCTGTTTATGGAAGTCCGGTACTCAGGTCTCTTATCCAACAAAAAAATTTATATTACTGTTTTTGAATGCTCAGGAACGCAACTGTTGCCTTGTTTAAGCGGGATATTTTGCAAAGTAGTCAATACCGTACAGGCATGCGTA